GACTATCGACATTTCCTATTAACATTGATATTACTCTTCGCACATGAAAAAATAATTTGAAAGTCTTATTAGAAAAAAGCAACTATTACATTATTCTAAGTTGACAATAAAATCTTGTAGAATTCCCTCATATAAGTTTGATGAATAGTTTATACCTAAAGAATATTTTAAATGTTGATATCAGTGAGAAATAATTGTAATATTGATTAAAGTATGCATGGTAGCATAATAGAAGAAAAGTAATGTACTTGTCTTTAGCATGAAAGTATTCTAAATTAATCTAGTCGTTTTTCCTTGGTTTTTTTCTCTTCTCTTAATAATGATCCGTAGTGAGCATATGTGGAATGTATAGAATAAAATAGCAAAATATAAAAATTGAGTTATTTAAATAATATTTTTTTAAATTAATTTTCTACGATTACCTTGATTGAAGTAGAAAAAAAAGAGAATAATATATATATCTTATCTTTTTTGAAATGTGTTAAAAAAATTAAGTGTTACAAAATCAATTTATCTATCATCAGAAATGCAATAATTATATAATGACGTGTGTTAAAGAAAAGTTTTAATGATAATATTCTCGGTTTTGTTTCATTTTCTATTTGTTTCAGTGATATTTTTTTCTTGATTTTCAGGGGTTATTCTACCTCTTGAACTCTATAGAATATTCATTTAAGGAAAGTGCACCTTGTTTTCTTTGAGAAAAGCATTACAAATATTTTATTTGTACAAACTTTGATATTATTTATTAAAAAAATATCCAATAGCAAGTGAAAATAAGTTGTGCCTCGAATGAGAAGCTTTTATGCACTTAATTAAAATTTTGAAGAGTGATTGATCTAGATATTAAAAAAAAGCCTAAACGAGTCCTTATGAAAATTTTCTGGTGATGTGTATATTCCAGAGATGGGCAAGTCAAGACAAGTCAAATCGGACTTGTCTTGACTTGACCTGAACTTCAAAAACTTCTGACTTGTACATCTTTGGTATATTCCATCTGAAGTTAGTATCGTTGTCGTGTTTTTTTTTGAAAAATGTACTCTAAATATTCTTAGATAAATGTTTAAGTTCCTAAGAAATATTTTGCACTAATGTAGAAGGATATGACTTGATTCTGAGAAGAACTGGAAATAGAACAAGAATAAGAGTACTATCATTAGAAATATGCGTTTAAAATATTCTATACACAGCACAAAAAAAAAATTCTTCATACGAGGTTCAGAAATCCATCCTTCTTCTTATTATATGCTAGATCACGATTTTCAAAGATGAAATCTTTTTTGAACAATGAGATTCCAAATTTGCTTGAGATGGTTCAGTGTTCACCTGTTTCTGTTTTTATTATACACATATAAATATCTTTGTAAGCGAAGAATTGCAATTTTTCTTTCATATAAAACGCGAATGTTGACCATTAAGAATTTGAACATATTTCCAAAATAAAAAAAATATTACAAAGAAGACGAATGTTAATCCTTGTCTGGCGGAAATAATTAGACAAAGTTTGTGAAATATATGAAAATGAATTTGACATGTTTTGTTTTCTAAATTATGACACCATTTTTATTTTGTATTATAGTTATTGACAATACTATAGAACATAATAATGATCTTATAACTGATGGATATATATGAACGCTTTTCGTCGATCATTTCAATGTACCAACTAATAAGAAGAGAAATACAGTTTTAATGTGTCGTTAAGTGACACTTGGATTAAATTGATTTTTGTCTCCTTCAATACAGTATGTTAATGAAAATATTATTTTTTTCTTTTATTTTGATCACATAAAAAACACATCTGCTAAATGGTGAGGGCAAAATAGTCAAGATTGAGAAAAACATAAGGAAGACTTTATTTTAATTTAGTGCATGAAAATCCATAAGAAACCAATGAAATTGTCTTGTTTTCGACGGTCTAATTTTAGCAGAAAGGTGAACCTTTTATTGTTTTTATTTCAATGTGCTGGAAAAATATTCAAGTTTGTTAGATCTTAGAAAACATGATAGTTAATAACTGAATGCTTTTTGAATGAAGTGATTTATTTTTATAAGAAATGTTCCATCTATTCGATGTCAATCTTATGAAGAATTTTATTCCTTTTTGTTTGTTTCTATCACTCGTGATAATCTATCAGCCGATAAACGGCTAGCTTTATCGGTCAATAACCAACAAGCCGTTTGCTTGTGTATAAATTTAGTCTTGTTATTTATTTGCACCGGAAAATAGGAGTTTTTCAATGCTGGATTAATCGAATCAAATATACGCGTACCAGTAAAGTTTATTTTCTCTGTTTTAATTTCATCAACGCTTGTGTCATTGCCATATCTTTATTCTAGATATGGATATACTGCGAGAAACAACTCTCAGAAACTAGAAACGCCTTTGTAATCTCTATATGATTAGTTTTGTTTTTTGCATGTTATGGAAGTTTCATGTAATTTCTATAAGGTTTTTTGATACTCATAGAATCTGCCTCTTGAAGTCTTGTGAAGTCCTATGAAGTTTTATGAAGTCTAGCGAAGTCTTGTGAAGTTTTATGAAGTCTTATGAAGTTTTGCGAAGTCTGGCGAAGTCTTGTAAAGTTTTATGAAGTCTTGTGAAGTCTTATAAAGTCTCAAGAAGTCCTACAAAGTCTGTGAAGTCTCACAAAATCCGTGAAGTCTCATGAAGTCCGTTAAGTCTCACGAAGTCTGTGAAGTGTCACGAAGTCTTTGGAAATCCTCTGAAGTCCCATGAAATCCTATGAAGTCTTGTGAAGTCCCCTGAAGTCCTACAAAGTCTTATGAAGTCTTGTGAAAATATGAAGTCACTGTGGTTGAAGTCTTGAAGTCCGCAGTTTCCTCCTTGGTGACAATTATGAAGAATGGGTTTTTGAGGAGTATTATTTGATCAAAAAAGAGTCTTTGTGAGTCTCATTCCCTACTATAAAAAGGGTTGCAATACGTGCTCCTGGTCATTTGAAATGAGAGTCCGGTATGAGTAACAAGTATGAACAATACATTTTTGAGTAGTATTATTTGATCAAAAAAGAGTCTTTTGAGTCTCACCTCCTACTTTATAAAGGGCCGCAACACGTGCTCGTGGCGATTTCAATTGAGAGTTACATATGAGTGACAAGTATGAAGAATGGATTTTGAGAGGTATTATTCCATCAAAAAATAGTCTGTTTTATTGTTTTTGAGTCTCATCTTACTATATAAGGAGTTGCAGCAGGAGTCGGTGGTCATTTGAATATAGAGTTAGGTATGAGTAACAAGTATGAACAACGAATTTTTGAAGAGTATTATTTGATTCGAAAAGAGTTTTTTGCAGTCTGCTTGAGTCTGACGCCCTACTATATAAATGGCTGCACTCGTGCTGGTGGTGGTTTCAGTTGAGAAGAACATCAGAGTAAAAAGTATGAACAATCGATTTTTTAGCGGATGGTTTGATGAAAAAACGTTTTTTTCCGTATTTTTGAGTTCCGCTCCTGTCATTATACAGACGCGCACGGTGAGATGTGTGCTGTTGCGGTGTACAAAGAATCACGAACAAGAATGATGAGCAGCTGATTTCGGTTATTGAAGTGTAGTCATTTGGATAGCTTTTCTTTTGCGGTCCCTACGTAGTCTCTAAGGAAGAATCCTGCTTCATTTTCGTATATATGTAAAGAAATTTTCCACCATACGACCGATTTAAAAAGAAACCACAATGCGTCAACGTTTTGTGTTTAACACAAAGCGTTCCATTAGAGAATATCCCCAAACGCAAACATTCACTAGAATACAATCCTGCCTTTGAATGAAAAAATGATTAATGCTCTTTTCACATCTGCTTTTATAGTTTTCCACCTCATAGAAAGATCTTGCAAAAAGTCTCTGGAACCTAGAAAACGACCTATTTTCAAACTTTTGCGCACTAACAAATCTCACAAGAAAAGTCTTCATAGCTCTCAAACAGAATGTTTCGTACCTATTCGTAATCGTCAGAAGAACCCCAAAGAACTCTCGCAAGGTGCTAGACTGCTCCCCGTCGAGTCTTTTTTCAACTGTTTCACACTATTATAAGGAGTTCTCTTCCGGCGGAAAACTTATCAAAAGCTTCCCGAAACATCTTTTTCTCTGGGCCCTTAAAAGTCCAAAAAAGAGTCGATTAAGACTCGATTCAATCTTTTGTGCCCAAAGAAAAAGACATTTTGAGACTATTTCAGTCTTTTGAATGATCTCTCTCCAACCGAAAAAGGTCTCAAATAGTGTCAAAAGATCTTTTTCTCTTGGCGCAGAAGGTCTCAATCGAGTCTTCTCGAGACTTTTTCAGACTCTTTTTGCGACTTTTGAAGCCCAAAGAAAAAGACTTTTTCAGACTTTTCTGAGACTTTTTTTCTCGGAGAAAAGTCCTTGAAAAAGTCTCAATAAATAAGTCTAAAAAATTTCCAATAAATAAGTCTCAAAAATTCCCAATAAATAAGTCTCAAAAAGTCTCAACGAATAAGTCTCAATCAGTCTCAAAAAGTCTCAA